ATGTAATTAAAAAAAATGTATTTGTGTTTGTCCTACAGGAGGAAGATGTTGATAGCAGGATTGTAAACGTGAGACGCCATGCCTCATTCTCCAGCAGGGACTCTGATAAAACTGAACAACAGGCCGCCGTAAAGAGGCACGCTTCCAGTGAGTCTCCTTTTCTTTAATATTATAGAATTTATTTCTACATCTGCTTCTCCTAAACTGGATAGTGGTGAAAAATGAATAGTTAACCATTTTAATAACCATAACCACTCTACCATGCTGCACTGCATTATATATCAAATGCACCCTATAGGACTCATCATTGCAAACTGTATAGCCTACTGTAACTGGATGGTCCACACTTAGTATGCGTAGGATGCAGCATTGGTTTTTATTAATGTATAAAGCCATTTTAGGTAAGCTTCCACCTTACATATGTGCCAGATTTGCCCCAGTTTGTGACTCTTACAACCTCAGATCCAGTGCCTAGATACGGTTCCAGGTTCCTGCTGTGCGGACTGAGGCTGGGAAAAGGAGTCTCTTTTATTATGGTCCTTGGTCTTGGAATAACCTTCAATCACGCCTCAAACTGAGGGCACTTGTCTCAATAGCATGTTTTAAGTTGAAGTTGTCTGAGGTCCTTACCACCAGCTGCTCTTGCAGTAATAAGTAGTGCACCTTTCTTACTGTCCTAATGTGCACAATGTAGTTACTGCTTTTCGTCTTTTGTTTTCTTAGTTATGTTCTCTGTATTTTATATGTTTGTGTTATGTGTAACGTTGCTGCCTTCTTGGCCAGGTCAGCATTGCAAATGAGATTCTATCTAAATGCTTTTATCTGGTTAAATAAAGGTTAAAAAAATAAAAAAAAGTTTTGTTATGGTGTATCAGCATCAGCATGCTCTGTTTACTAATATCCTGCCATGTGTTCTGTCAGATGTAAACCACTATGCGCGGTACGGAAAGACGCGTGCAGAGGAGGACGCCAGGCGCTACCTGACTGAGAAAGAAGAGCTGGAGAAGCAAAAGGAAGAGCTCAGAAATGAGCTGGTGGCCCTCCGCAGGGAGAAGAAGGAGATGAAGGAGGAGATGAAGAGTGTTACAGGTCAGAGACAAATCACACATGCGGCCTGTTACAACTTCAGCTTGGCATCAGTACTTACTAATGAGCTTTTTTATCTGTGTGTGTGTGTGCAGGTCAAGCTGTGGAACTGCGGTTAGCCAAGCTTGAGGTGTTGTGTAAACAGAGAGAGGAAGAGAGGGTGGAGCTGGAGCTCAAACTGACGGAGGTGAAAGAAAACCTGAAGAAGTCTCTGGCCAGAGGATCGATGAGTCCGCCCACGACCCCCAAGATAGCCCCAAAGGTCGGCTCTTACAGCAGTGATGCTGTCCGGTGTCAATCGTTTAGAAAACTGTAAACTGTGAAGAGAAACCCATTTCTATTCTTTAATCATTTGTATTTACCCTGTTATTTGGTGTATGCCAGATTCTTACAATTCTGTTATGTTGTAGACATGTGTCCGATGAGTGATTTTTTTTATGACTAAAAGTATAGAAAAGTTGGACATTTTGGGGTGTAAGATTATTCCCATTCATGAATAGAGCTGGATGAGAATATTGACACCACCCTTATGTCTACATGCTAAATATGAAGCTACAGCCAGCAGCAAAATTAGCTTACCAGCATCTCAAAAGTCAAATCATGAATATGTTTTATGTTCTTTGTTTTATTGTTACAAATCAACAAGTTGTGTATTTACAGTGAATTATATTATTATATAATTATATTATAGACTTTGTTTTACCTGTGGCCAGTCACCTCTTGGCCAAGAAAGTGAAATAACTCTATTTCCTAAAATCTGAATCTTTCCATATAATGAATAAAATGTGATGTGTGTTTGTGTGAACAGGCACAGGGCAATAGGGTGGAAAAGGTTTACAATGAGAGCGTGCCGACCAACGCAGCAACTGAGCTTCGTAAACGTCCTGCGACTGTTTACGCCTCGTCCAGGGGGAACGTCATGCAGAAAGCAAAGGTAGGGTGTAAGTGTGTGTGTGTGTGTGTGAGTCTGCCTTCGACACCCTTGAAGAAAAAGTTTTGAATAACTTTGGATAATTTTCCTGACTTTGTGCTGTGTCATGGTTTCCAGGAGTGGGAGTCAAAGAAGGGGACCTAGACTCATCACACATTAATCGACAGATGGATTAATGGAGAGAAAAACCAAGTTGTGAGAAGAGGATGTGTAAGAGAAGAAACGGATGGAGATAAATGGCACGGAGAAGAAGAAAAAGAAAGAGGGGAGAGGACAGACTCTGACACAATCTTCCCTTCTCTCTTTCAAGAAAAAGAGGAATATTTGCAAGTACTGGCAGCTGTCTCAACCACTGTAAATAGGACTTTACTCATACCAGTACAGTGTTAATGTGGACCCCTATGAACATAATACATGTTTGTGTGAGTTTGCATGTGTGTTTACATTTGCACAGGGCTGCAGAAAGAGAAAATGTGATTATTTCATAGAAACACATCACAAAGGGAGAGTGTAGTTCATCGACACTGTGAGTTCAGTTACAGGCAAAACTTCCACTGATGTTATTCCTGTTTTGTAAGATACTTGTAAATGTAAAGTGAAACAAAACAAACCTAAAGAAATTATTATAATTATTACTTTAAGTTATCTTTATTAGTAAGAGAAAAGTTGTATTTAAACCATTAGGAAAGCATATTGAGTATGACACTGTTCCTGAAACAAATGACTAAATGTTTATTACTGCAATGTGAAACTATTGGTTTTTAACCATTGTATGTGTATTTTTCACATTTGCCTTTAGCACTTTACCATGTTGTTGTGATATCACAAATGTTTTGTAAATTAGAATTATCACCCAACTTCAGAATAGTAAGCACAAATGCCTGTGTCTGATTCCATCACAGCAATATGAACAAACACACATGTTGGAGTAAATGATCACTTTATCAAGAAACTGTCTGCTGGATTTATTTTACTTTGTGTCTGTCTGGTGTCCCATATAAGTTCACTGCAAGACACCGACAACACAATCACAACTTGTGCCATCTAGTGGCGAAATATATGTATACCACTTACAATTAATATAATTTACATTTTTGTACTGACGATGAAACAATACCTCGAAACGTTCAAATCTACTTTTTCGGATATATTGTTGGAACTTCTTCACATCATCCACCATTAGTTTAGATCTTTGTGTGTTACTTTATTTCACTCCTATGCATTTTGAATGACAACACACCATAATAGCAAGTGTTTCATTACAGCCATAATAGAAGTGCTTCATATAAATATGTAATTTCCATTATTAAAGTATCGTTTATTTAATTAAACTCTAATTTAATTCTGTAGTACTGAGTAGAGTAACAGGGAAAGCCTGTGCCTTTAATACAGGTGGGTTCCTCCCCCCCCGTGTAGAAATGTTTGTTTCGAAAGAGTGAAACATACGGTTCGAATCAGAATTTAATGATTGTTTTACAGAAACACGTTTATCTGTCCTTTTAATGAATATTGTTGACGCTTCTGATTTAATGGAATCGTTTGGACCACCCAGTTGAAAATATCCCTAACAGAATGCAATGACAGAAAACCGCTGTATCTGAAGGATTATTGAAGACACTGATGTTTTCTGTTTGAAGTGATTACATTAACAGTAGTTTGGTGGGTCTGAACATGCTTCAACACTGAACGACCAAATTGAGTAAGGAGATTTTCTATGATACAGTATCTATAGCCTACTTCGTCGGTGACACATTAGAGTCTCTGAAAATCTGCTTGGATCTACTGAAATAACACGAGAGAAAGAAGTCGGTTGCATTGCCAAATACAAATAAAAAGGGTCTGTTCACCAGAGTAAAACAAAGGAAACACTTGTGATAGACCACATAGGCAAAGTGTAATCGAATTACCCCAGGATTTGAAATACCTCTTTGGAATGTCTGCTTCCTTCTTGTACAATGGGGGTGGAGAAAAAAGCAGCACCTGTGTCTATTATTATAGTGTCTGTTACTCTGGATAACCTATGACACTGTCAAACATTACTAAGGCTATTTCTTCCAGAAAAGGATGACATTCAATTCACCTCCATCGGAATGACAACATATGGGCAATATGCCAGTAGAGTTAAATATACAAAAGTGAGTTTTGGTGTTTGACACTTTTCTTCTTTTTTTCAATCCAGTCAATGTAGTTGATCTCATTGATAAATTATACTTTTAAAGCATGACATCCCCACTAGTGCAGATGGGTGAACAAATAAATCAACATCAGACAATAACTTCTTTAGAAATAGTTTATTTAGTGCATTTCTAGTTTGTCCACAGCAGGAACAAAAATAGTAAATGAATCTGTGCTCCCATTGGTCCAGGTGGTTCCGGTCCAACACCATTGGTCCATTCATGTTCTGGTGCAATAGTATTGGTCCAGTAGTGTTCCGTCACCCTCCCATTGGTTCACTAGTGTTCTGGTATGACACTATTGGCTCACTAGTGTTCTCCTTAGGTCAGGAACACGTAAGACCAGAAAGAAAAAAACTGACCTTCAGCATGCTGCTACTGAGCAGAGGTCCACAAGCTTCCATGCAACAACAAACAAACAAACAAACAGCAAGGGGACGACAACAACAAACAGAAAGATAAACAACGGCATTGCTTGTAAGAAGTAAGCATGGAAGCATTTACAGTATTATTGTATATAACAACCTTATTTTAACCTGTTAAAGCCCTCAGGAGGTTTGTCTGATATACAACAGATCTTAAAAAGGTACACCCCCCCTACACCCACCCACCCCCCACACACATGCACGCTTACACACTCGCTTGCCCACACACTCCTACTACAAGCACAGTGTGTGCCCGACCACTCTCACACGCACGGGCGCGCCTGCATGCAAACAAAGGATCAGTCCTCACAAGTGAACATGGAATACGTTTGTCACTTTTTAAAAATATGACTTAACCCCATGAGCTCTGTGTAAACATAGCATATGGTAGAATAGATTAATACTTCCTGTGTCACTCTAACTATCTTACCACTTTTCCCTTCTACCACCTAGTTAATACTTGGACTCTTTGGTTCTCTGTAACAGTCTGTTTATCTAATTATGTGACTGACTGACTCTCTCTGCGTTGCTCCATCTCCCTCCCTTGTCCTCTCTGGGTATGATACAGTGGGAAGGGTATTCAAAGGAAGGTTCTCGTCCCCCTGCAGGCCGGAGCAGCAGACGGATTGATTGTCCTTGATTTATTTACATCACAGTCAGTCACAGTGGGCTCCGTTAAGTGGAAGATAACACTCCTGTCCTCCTTCGTATTATCTCCTCGCCTCCTCCTACCCCACACCAGCCTGATGTGTGGGCATGTCGGCCTGAGATCTTTGTGTGTGTGTGCGTGCGTGTCTGTGGGTGTGTGTGAGGAGTGGGGGGCTAGGATAAGTCGTTGTTGCTGGGCGACTTCCCTCCGCCATTAAGTATGGCCGAAGCGCTGCGACTCTTGGTTGGTGTGCCGCTGCCGGACCGAGAGAGTTCTGTCAGGTCATGGAGGGAGGGCTCCCTGTACATGGCCACTGCACACGCACACGCACACGCACACGCACACACACACACACACACACACACACACACACACACACACACACACACACACACACACACACGCACACACAATCGGGAGAGAGGAATCATCGATTAAATTATTAATCAAGTTGTTGGTCTGAATCGCTCTTGGTGTGAACGCCTTGTTCAAGCAGTTGGGTACATCTAGTTCCTGTGCTGGCAGAAAATAGAGATCTTTGCTTTATTCAAAATTCTGGTTGTAGAAAAAGTTCTGAATTTACTACCTAAGGGAATTCCTGTGTTGCTGTAATGCATCGATCCATACAAATATAAGTAACAATTATCTAGTCTTTAACAATTATTATATTCCTTGAACCCACAGTTGCTATGTTTGCCCTCCTTGAGGCAGCGGAACCACACTGTTTTACATCATTGACATAAATCAACTTTAAAGTTTCAAGCCTGTTAGAGAACAGCTGCTTATTTACACACCCAGCAGGTACGGAGCCCCATTAGCATTCACTTGGAGTCGTGTTTGTGTCCAATATTCGCTCTCCTTTTAGCTTGGCTCTCCACTTATCTCTTGGAAAGATACTTGGCTATTTAGCTGCTAAATAAGTCGCCATCTTTGTCTGCCTGCTGTCTGCCTGCTGTCTGCTGTTAGGAACATTGTGTACAGCTGGTTTTTAGAGCTTTTTTTAGGCATGTGATCTATTAATATAAAGCTACTGATTGAAGCCAGTCTTTTAATTGTCTCCCTCCCTTTATGTTTTTCTTCATTGCTCTTTCCACACTGTGTATTGCATATTTTTCTTTTGCATTGGATCATGATGTGCCATCACCCCAGTCTGTAAAAGAAAAGTCTCACTTTCGGCAAACAACACATCGCATCTGTTTGTATAAATGTTTAAAAGATGAGTTCAGTTTAAGAAGTAAGCTGTCACGGTCATGAAAAATTCATTATTTACAAATAAGGTATAATTCTGTACCTCCATGTGAATCTACACTGAACAAAAATATAAATGCAACACTTTTGTTTTTGCTCCCATTTTTCATGAGATGAACTCAAAGATCTAAAACATTTTCTATATACACAAAATAACCATTTCTCTCAAATATTGTTCACAAATCTGAAAAAATCTGTGATAGTGAGAACTTCTCCTTTGCCGAGATAATCCATCCCACCTCACAGGTGTGGCATATCAAGATGCTGATTAGACAGCATGATTATTGCACAGGTGTGCCTTAGGCTGGCCACAATAAAAGGCCACTCTGAAGCGTGCAGTTTTTGCTTTATTGGGGGGGTCTGGGGGGGTCTGAAAACCCTAGGGTTAAACCCTAACTCTAACATGTCACCCATTGAGCATGTTTGGGATGCTCTGGATCGGCGTATACGACAGCGTGTTCCAGTTCCTGCCAATATTCAGCAACTTCGCACAGCCACTGAAGAGGAGTGGACCACCATTCCAAAGGCCACAATCAACAACCTGATCAACTCTATGCGAAGGAGATGGGTGACTTGTTAGGGTTAGGGTTTAACCCTAGGGTTTTCGGACCCCCCCAGACTCCCCTAATAAAGCAAAACTGCACGTTTCAGAGTGGCCTTTTATTGTGGCCAGCCTAAGGCACACCTGTGCAATAATCATGCTGTCTAATCAGCATCTTGATATGCCACACCTGTGAGGTGGGATGGATTATCTCAGCAAAGGAGAAGTGCTCACTATCACAGATTTTTTCAGATTTGTGAACAATATTTGAGAGAAATGGTTATTTTGTGTATGTAGAAAATGTTTTAGATCTTTGAGTTCATCTCATGAAAAATGGGAGCAAAAACAAAAGTGTTGCATTTATATTTTTGTTCAGTGTATTTTAGAGTCTTGTCACTTTGGGCAAACCAAGCAATATTTCACATTAAATAGGATGACACCCCTGTCAATCAAATCTGATCCAAGCAGACCTGCAGAGCCCTTATGAAGCAGATTTACTATTGAATGCTACGTCTTATAAACAATAATTAGGGATGTTTACAAGTGATATTGTTGCTGATTTTGCAAAGACAAGCTGATTGCTTTCCGTTTTCTTTTGAGCTTAGCAACTCAAAACAGTGACAGGAAACACAGCATTTTGTTTTCCACAGTTACTTTGGCTCTTCCACTGTGGGATAGCTACTTATAGCTTGCCGCTAAAATAAGGCTCTATTCTCTGCCTGTTTGGTTGCGCAATGGCTTATACACTTCCATTGTGCCATAAATATTTTTACCAGGAGCATACAGAAAGGCACAATGAAAGCCAGACTTATTGGGAACCAATGTAGGTGATTTTAATGCTGATGATGTCATTTTTCTCTATTACAATGTGAAGTCAACAATATACTTCATAATAAGTTAAAGTAAAAATGGTCTATTGCCACTTTAAAGTTTAAAGAGACATTCTTTTTAGACCAAGTTATCTGGTGCTTATATACAATTGTTTCAAAATGTCAACTTGAGTTCAAAGCTTTATTTTGCTTATTAGGGTTTTCTATTTGTTTTTTGTATAGGTTTTTGTGCATGTAAATGGTCTGCAAAGGCTAACCCCCGCCCCTGCCTGAAACGCCCCCATTGTAGTCCTTTGTTTACTTCCTTAACTTAGTGACATGACTAAGTAACACCGGCGTTTCTATTGGCTAGCGCTCCAACACATCGTACGTGATAGGCTAAGGAGCGGGACATCTCTAATGGCTGACCAATCACAACAGAGCTGGCCAGCTAACCAATCAGAGCAGACTGGGCTCTGGTTTCAGACCGAGGGGGGAAAGAGGTTCTGCAGCACAGGCAGTATGAGAAAAATAAAGAGCTTTTTGAACATTAACGCATGTAAACATGTCACAGTAGAGACACAAAATACTATCATTAAGCTGAAAATGAGCATAATAGGTCCCCTTTAACTTAAGTCTGTGCCTGCTTGTTTAAACGTTGTGCAGTTCACTCCCCTACTAGCCTTACCTTTGAGTGGTTTCGGTATAAAGTGTGCAGCTGCCTTGTTCTTCTTGACGTGGTTCCCCTTCATGATCCCCCCCTCCTTGTTGAGTCCGAGGTACCAGGCTCGACCTGAGGCCTGCTGCCGGTACAGCATGGAGGAGTAGGTGACGTAGTAGTTCTCAAACACCGACTCCTTGAACTTACACTCCGGGGTAAAATGTTCCTGAGGGGGAAGGTGTGACAGATATTAGAAGAAATAGTGGAAGAATGAGGAGAGTGAGTAAACATGGAGAGGTGGGGTGTTATTTATTATTATTATTAGAGTGAGTCACAGAGGCTATGAGTCTATAATGACAACTCCATTAACAACAGTTAAATCATCACATTCATATTGCCATCAGTGTGTTCCTCCATCATGTGCTCCACTGTTTGAAAAATTATCTCGGCCGTGTCTCAGAACAAACTGCACCAACTTAGGACAGCTGACATTTGCATTTTCTTATTCCTGCATCGCCATAGCAACTGGCTACTCCCTTGAATACCAACCAGCCCACTGAGAGAAAGATGGAGCTCACGTTGCCGGGGGGAACGGAAAGATACGGAAAGGATCCGTCATCCCTTTTAATTGAACTAAGTTTGGTGTGTGTAGGATATTCAAATAGCTTTGATATGAAAAGGAGAATAGATTTTTCTATTCATATTTTGTCCTTGTGTAATATAAGGTGAAAGATGCTACTATTGATTGTGACGGAGAGCATGCAGGACTGGACACGATGGTCAGATATTGTGGTGGTGTTGTACGTGCCTGCACAGGCGTAGCAGCACAGATTTTATTACTTTGACGTGTGGGCCATTTTTCTATTTCCTCTCTGTTAGTTTCCATCTCTTAGTCTCGCAGATTTCCTTAGATTGCTGAAAGTGCGTATTGTTTTTGTTGATTACTTTTGTTTTATTGCATCTGCACCGCCCACCATCCCTGCCCAAGAGCTAAAGTGAGGTGCTTAATGTACTACATGCACAGCGGAAGTGTCTGTGTAAGTCTAGCTGGGAAGGCATAAAAACACATTTCAGATCGATGTGTAAATGGATCAAAAGCGAGCTTCCTAGCAGAGAATGACTGTAGGGGGATAAACAGGAGGCTGGAGGATGATCTGACATCAATCCTGTGAAGCCTGATATCAGTGGATAGATAAGCGTGGCTCAGATGCTGGATTATAGCACCCAGTGGCATCTTAGTCACAAGACAACACTGTAGTGAATGGATTGGTGTGATTATAGGACGATAATCAGACTAGTCAAAATGAAACTGCTCCTGTTACTCAACCCAAAGGAAAGATTTGAGTCCCTTTATAGTTTCTTATGATGATGATGATGATGATGATGATGATGATGATGATGATGATGATGATGATGATTATGCTGTGAGTGTGTGTGTGCTGACGTACAGAGGTGTAGAGAAAGCCTTCGTTGTTCATCGCCAGATAGAGTTTGGTCTGCACGCCCTGGATGGCCACGACACGAAGCCCCACCGGGATCAGGTTGAACACAGCTACGAATGCACAAACAAACCCACACAAATGCACACACACACACACACACACACACGCACACACACGCACACACGCACATGCACACGCACACGCACACACACACACACACACGCAGCAAACAAACACACACTCACACAGTGAACACAGAGGGAAACAGAGAGAAAATCCTCATCAATATCAATGTAGCATCTGGTATGTTGACACCTCCATTTTGCAACAGTGAAGTTATTTCACAAGGTCAGTCAAGTGCTACAGACGCTGGCTTCCACTAATGATTTACCCGCGGTCATTAAGAGCAGGAGAAAAAGGGTTAGAATTGGCGGAAAAGGTAGCAGTTCAGAGTTTGCAATGCATGTTTTATATGTAAAGCTACAGAGCTATTTCCAATATTAGTAATGCAAATATTAATGCTGGAGCTTACCCAATCAGTCAAATATGTTTTCTATTGATCCCTCTATCCAAAGATGATGCCTTCAAATGGCTCGGTTTGTTTGAAAAATACTTGAAGACATTATTGTATGATTTATATAATTATTTAAAGGTGACATATCATGCTCATTTTCCGGGTCATAATTGTATTTTGCATTCCTAATATAACATGGTTTAACATTTTAAAAAAACGCATTGCTTTTCTCATACTGTCTGTCTAAATATGCCTGTATTCACCCGCTGTCTGAAATGCGTAGTTTTAGTGCCTGTCTCTTTAAAAAATCTATTCTACTCTGATTGGCATTGTTGAAAATATGGCACACAAACTACAACAAATATGTCAAATGAGGGTAAATGTCAATATTGCCCAGCCCTAATTGTCAGGCATGTCTGGTAAAGTATCTACAATGACACCAGAATAAGTAGAGATTGAAAGCCTATTCATCTACACATTTTTGGGTGCATCGGGAGAGTTACATCAAATAACTGAAACTATCCATCTTGTTTGTTGTTCTCTTCGCTCTGGTACATTCAGTTGGCACAAGTGAAAAAGTTATTTATATTTTCTACAGTCGCTCTTTAGCGGGGACTTAATTATTCCGGGCAATTTGATGAGCCATGCTCTTGTTTAATTACAATCAATTTAGCCAACCATGTTCTTTTTTAATGACTGCAGTTATATGGAGATGTGGATTACATGGATTATCCATTGAAATTCAGTCACAGGCGACTGATTTTACGTGGGTGGGCTTTTATATCATGTGTACCCCATGTAATCATCTCATTAAAGAAGACGCTGCGTTTGTTGCCGTGTCTGTTCCTTTGTGCATTCAACAGTAGGTGGCTTGAGAAGCAGCAGAGATTAATGCATGATGTTTGCAGCTGGCAACTCCAACTGTGCACGGGAAGGAGAGTGATTGCTATCAGAACCACAACAGCAAGATTCAATTAGCCGTATCAATCACACAATGTAGCCTGTGTGTTTGTGTGTGTGAAAAAGAGATAGAGCCATTGAGAGAAAATAGTAGGGATGCACCGAATATTCGGCCGCCGAAAATTATCGGCCGAAAATGGTTAAAAAGGCTCTTTCGGCTTTCGGCCGAAAGGGTTTTAGCACCGAAAAAATATCACCGAATGTCAGGGAACAGGGTTACGTTGGTAAACTAACGTGTTGTTGTGATGACGTAATCAAAACGCGGCGAGAAGCACGGTGCGCGACCATGCTCGCGGCTGGCTCACAGCCAACATGTCTGCCGCTTGGAGATATTTAAAAATATCAGAGAAAGAGGCGCGGATTGCGATTTGTAAAACGTGTTCAACTTTAAGACAGTCTACACCTCAAATTAGAAGTCGTCCTGTGAGGTCGTTGGTACAGTTCACAAGTATTAATCTTTGCCACCGCGAAAAGAAGTTTCAGTCCAAAATAGATGTGGAAAGGACACAATTTACAAGGGACGATCTCGTTGGGTAATTTAGAGGTGTGTAAGTTGTCCTATGTGTAACGTTTTGGATAAGATTCCCCACGTGGCTTACTTTAAGGACAGGCTTTGGCTAATGGCTTTTATCCGTTTGGTCAACCGGCTTTGGCTTACGGCTTTTCCGGCTTTTACTATTATCTTTATATATACATATATTACATATGTAAAAATGGTTACAACAAAAGTCGATGGACTAATACCTTTTTACTGTACTAATACGTTTTAGAATTGAATTGAATTTATCATTAGTGAATATACCCAGGTATGCTGCTTGTCCGCACTAGTCGTGAACGTTACGTATGTCATGTAATTAGGTTTCAGTTCACGTAAAGAGCATCCTATTGATGTTTGTTTCACGTAGTCTTGTTTCGGTTCCACGTACTTTGTAGATCCGGTCATCGGTACGTTGGTTTTACCCCTGTTATTTCCTGCTTGTCGGTCCAAGTTGTTGTTGTTTCGTGGATATTCGTACGTATCGTTTCACGTTTGCTATTTAGGTGACTTCCATTTGATAAATGTTTAACTTTAATGTTAAGTTAAAGTTTCTTTAGACATTTATTCGCAGACAGGAGTATTCGTTTCATCATTTGTAACATATTTCTATGTATTTACTTTTGACCTATGTTTAAGGGTGTTGGTTAATGTTTTAATTTAATGGTTAAAGTTCGTTAGCGTTTTATTCCACCAGACGGAGTCTCGTTACATTTGGTTTGTAACAATTAGTAAATCTATGGCTTTCATGTTATATAACCTTGTTGACACGACGACAGTAAAGGGGGATTCTATTGGCTCTACCCTTAATATCTGAGTGTTACTTTTACAAGTCTTTGCACCATATCTCATCTTACATTTGATCTATTCGAATACTATTGGTCGGAGCAGATGAATAATTCCTTTTCACCCTCAAGAAAATTACTTGTCATCGAAGAGACGAATAGTCGGGAATCAGACAAGGAGAAGAGTAGGTTCGTGGTACTCTCCGTGGACTTGTCAGAGAGCGACAGTCACGAAGCACTAACTAGATGAGGGCGTAATAAGAACAGGCCCCCACACGTAAAGTTCACCACCTCATTAGGCTTCACACTTTCAGAAACGTCAATGTGGGGGAAGCTC